AAAATATTCTAATTAACCTCAGAGGATAGGACAAGAAGCAATTAACTTAAACTGCAGCAAGGGAGGTTTAGGTTGGATATTAGGAAAAACTTCCTAACTGTCAGGGCAGCTAAGCACTGGAATAAATTGCCTAGGGAGTCTGTGGAATCTCCATCACTGAAGGTTTTTAAGAACAGATTAGACAAACACCTGTCAGGAATGGTCTAGTTATTACTTAGTGCTGCCTTGGATGAAGGGGACTGGACTAGAAGACCTCTTGAGGTCCCTTCCAGTCCAAAACTCCTATTACTCTTTGCACAAAATATACATTCTTTGAAATCTACTTAGGGCAGAGCTCAAACTCACTGTACATGGGTACTTCTCAGGTTCACTGGCTACAGCATGTCACTTTTTTGGTTTGGTGGACTATTTGGGGTGTCCCTTGTTCAAATGACATCAAATTTTGACTACCAACCCTGCCCCCAGACCTCCTCAAGACACAGCAACTTTCAGCAAATAAACATGCGGATTTTAGAACACTTAGAAAAATCAGTAAGCTAGTCTCAACTAGAGGTGTGTGACTTTATTTGGCAAATAGTAAATTTCCCAAGAAAATGCATTTTGGGGGGTATTGAAACTGAGAATTTGGGTCAAATTCAGCAAATAGTTTTAGCTGGGAAAAAAACCCAAAATGAAAATTTCAAAAATTTCATTTCATATCAACATTTTGTTTCAAAACATCATTTCAAACTGACATTCAAAATAATATTTCATTTTACCTGAATAAAAAAATTCAGTTTTTTGTTTTATCAAGAAAAAACGAACAAATTAAAGTTTTAGTTTGAAACTGTTTTTTTTTTCCCCTTCTGATTTTTCAGTTCAGCCACTAAATTAAAAAAAAAATTATTCATCACCTCTAGTCTCATCTTTAACTCGTGGTGCTACTGTCTCACTATAACAAAACTATTGAAGTGACTAAGGATTATATAGCCCAGGCCCAAGTGATCAGTACTTGTTAGATTTAAATGTTGTAATACAGTAGCTTAAATTTCAAGACTCATCTCAATATGATATCAATAATTACTATGGATTAGAACAGAAAGACAAAATCAAAGGAACATCAAGAATCCATTTTGGTTATATTTCCTGCTTTGGCAATCTATGCCATATCTCCATCTGCTGACAAAAAATTGCAACACAATGCAGACAACAGCTATCTTGAAAACACACTGGACAAAACAGCACTTCTTATAAGGCAGCCATTGTTAACCTATAAAAATAAACTGTTTCGCCAATTACTATGTAAACTGGAAAATATTAATTTATGAAGAATTTCCAACTGCAATGACTTCATAAAAAAGAAAGAGAAAAGCTGAATCTATCAGGTTAGAATTCTTTGATGATATCAAAATAACCAACTCTTAAAATTTATTCTCGAGCTCTGTAATTTATAGTTACTTATAATTCATACGCTAAATTTCACATGGTTTCAACATTCAAAAACTGCTTTTAAAAAAGCTCAGTAAAACATGAGGTCACTTTGGGATAGTCACTTACTCCAAAAGCAAAACTGGGATAAAGGTTAATATTAATTTTCAAATGCTTATAAAGCAGCAAGACTGCAGGTAAAACATTACAGACACATCAACTGATACACAAATGTATAACAAAGGGTGAAATAAAGTATCACGTTGCAAGTGGAACTGTATTCAAGCAATCAGTGCTATGCAATTAGTGTATATATATACACACACACACACTCACACACGCAGTTGCTACTTAAATATTAAAAAATGCTTTGTAATTTTGCTGTATTAGAGGCTTGAACAAACTTGTTCTGTAGGAAGAAAAGGAGTACTTGTGGCACCTTAGAGACTAACCAATTTATTTTGAGCATAAGCTTTCGTGAGCTACAGCTCACTTCATCGGATGCATAGTGTGGAAAATACAGAAGATGTTTTTATACACACAAACCATGAAAAAATGGGTGTTTATCACTACAAAAGGTCTTCTCTCCTCCCACCCTACTCTCCTGCTGGTAATAGCTTATCTAAAGTGATCACTCTCCTTACAATGTGTATGATAATCAAGGTGGGCCATTTCCAGCACAAATCCAGGTTTTCTCCCTGACACTTTAGATAAGCTATTACCAACAGGAGAGTGGGTTTGTGGAGCAGGGGGAGGGGGGGGAAGCGGAGGAGGGGAGGGAGAAAACCTGGATTTGTGCTGGAAATGGCCCACCTTGATTATCATACACATATCATAAGTAGATTCCGTAGTTTTAAAAAAGGTGCTTTGTGTTCCACTAGTTTCTCACGTGGTGTCTCTCCTACCTTCATAAGGATCTGAATACCCTCTCCTAGCACTAAGGATTCCCTCCAACTATTTTCTTCATTTTTCTCCCCTCTTTTAAAGCATTGTGGTCACACTCCCTTAGAGGCAATCAGTTTTGCTCCTTGAGTTAATATGGGTGAAATGAGATCAACAGGAAGAGATACCTCCTCTCATGGGTTTAAAATAGTTTCTGCTTCCACTGTGTTCATAGCCCTTGTCGACCCAAGAACTAAAGACCAAGATTTGATGCCCAACACCAGTTCTCATATGGCATCCCAATATTCTTCCACTAGATTACCATCCTGGCATAGTTGGCCACTATGTCTTCACATTGAGAATATATCAACTGAGAATTCAGATACACACATTCCATACACAGAAGGACACTAATAGGTACCCAATGTTTGTATGTGCATATGCTCATACGTATGTGTATGAAACACATATATGCATGTGCATTTATTCATGTGCGTATGGAACATTTGTGTGTGATGTACGTACACACACACACTCCATGGGAGCAACACTGTGTGACAAGGTGTACAGTTACATCAAAACTTCCCTATGTGCTTGGCGCCCAAAGACAAAAGCCAAGAGTTTCTAAATATCTGAAGATTATTCCTGTATTATATTATTCCTGGGGGAATTCTGCAACAAAAAATTAAAAATTATGCACACATTTTCAAATTCTGCAAAATTCTGAATACACCTCTACCCCGATATAACGCTGTACTCAGGAGCCAAAAAATCTTACCGCGTTATATCAAACTTGCTTTGATCCCCCGGAGCGCGCAGCCCCATCCTCCCGGAGCACTGCTTTACCGCGTTATATCCAAATTCGTGTTATATCAGGTATCAATATATAGGGGTAGAGGTGTATTTTATTTTTCAAAACACCACAATATAATCACACCAGTTTCAATTAATTTATCATTTATTTCAAAATACCTGTCAGCAAGTATGTCTGTATTGTTACAGACAACAAAAAAGATTCAGGATTATTAATACAGAACTCTGAGTAATAATTCATTTAAAGTACAATACAGAAATATATTTCTCACACCCCTCAGAAGCAGTGCAAAGGCTTGTGGGGAGTCAGGGGTAACAGAGGGCTTGAGGGAGATGGAAGTAATTGCTGGGAAGGAGCCTGGGTCTGAACTTGGAGTGTTGTTGGGTATGGGTGGGAAAAGCATAGAACAGTTTTTTTGCGGGGGGGCAGGGAGAAATTGTTAAGGAGCTTCCCCCATGCAGACCCTGGCTGACCTCTAGCCTCTCCCATTCAGTCAGGCACATCTGCCCCTGTCCCACATGTGTCCTTGAACTCCCTGTCCACGTGTCCCTCCACTCCCACTCAGACATCCATTCTCCCCATCCTGATGTGGCTCTACATCGCCTCCCCTGCCTCAGGTGGCCCTGTACCTCCTCCCCCTGTCTCCACGTGTCTCTATGCCCCCACTCAGCCACTCCCATTCCTATGTGTGTCTGTGCCCCCACTCAGTCACCTCCCTCTCCATATCTGGCCCTATACCTCACTCCCCTTTGTGGCCCTACGCCTCCACTCCCATTCAGCCCCTGCCCCAGTCTGTCCTCCCACACTAGCCCTTATGAGCCCCTGTCTGACTCCCCAGCAGCCCCACACTGTCTGTCTCCCCATAGCCCCTGTCTCCTGACCTGGCCTGACAAGTGCTGTGAAGAAGGTAGGCTCTCTCGTCTCTAGCTGTCTGGGAGCTGCTGCTTTGTTCTATCACCACAGTGCCCTCTGGTGGCAAAAGGCGGAACCGCAGCAACTTTCCACAGTAGTTATTTTCTGATGGGGCTGGCAGGGGGGAGGCTGCTCTGTTCTAGCACCATAGCGCCCTCTGGTGGGCAAAAAGTGCAAATGCAGCAACTTTCCAGCAGAAGCTTTTTTCTGCACAAAAAAATTAAAATTATGCATGGCTCATTAATTATGCACACACAGAGTGGGACAGAATTCCCCTGGGAGTAATTATAACCTCACTTTCTTATGGTGTTTGTTTCTTTATCGTAGAGCCTTACTTGAATAATCGCACAAGAACAGATGACTATGTATATCCCTGATTTCCTTTAGAAAGGATGTCAAGTAGAATATGTATTCTTAAATACTTTTTGGAAAATAATTTAACCACCACATCAAACATAAGTAAAGGATAAAAGATTTTGATCTGTCCTTGAGTAGAAGATAAAGTTATAATTCCATTTTTTGTAACTCTGTTAACATTCCACTAGTTTCAGATTTTTGGATTTTGAGGCCACTAGAAAGTGTGATCTAGTAGATAAAGCAGCAGCCTAAGACACAGAGACATGCATTCCAGTTCCAGTTCTGCCCCTCGCTTGCTGGGTGTCCTTGGACAAGCCTTTACTTCACCCCTGTCTTGGGTTTCCTGATATGTAAAAAGGAGATAACTGTACCCACCTTCCTTGTAAAGTACATTGAGATCTACAGATGAAAAGTACTGTAAGAGCTAGATATTGTTAATATTATTAAAAATTTTGATATTTTTATGGCCTTGCTATAAGCAATTAAATGTGTATCGTTTTTTAGCGTTTTTTAAAATTTTAATTAAATGGAAATACAACTTCTGCCTTGGACACCTTAACTGGTTATGTATGTGGAACTGTAAATTGGGGTTTGAAACATAATACAAATATTAAATGTATCTCCTTACCTTTTACTACTTCAGCCACATTACAGGTAGGATCAATACTTCCAATATGCTTGGGATGAGCAGGATTAGTGTCTCCACCAAAAAGAAGTGCTAAGAGGAAAAAAAGTTGACAGTTAAGTGAATGGCTATTACATTTAAAACAACATAGAAAAGTTAAATCAGACAATATGTTGACAAGATTCAGTGTCACACTTCAAAAAGATACTCCTCCATAACATTAGTCCCTGATCAAGACTATTGACCTCTCTAGAAAAAACACTTTGTTTAGTAATTATAGCTTGCAATATCTGATATGATATGAGAAGTAAATGCATTGGAGTCCATTTATGTCTATCCAGAAGAAAGAAAAAAAATCTCATAGTTCTCAGGATAGACTAAAGTCAGTACATATTCAACTGAATTATAAAATGTTCCATTCATATAATTATCTGAGTAGGTAGGAACTGTAAGTTCGATGAGGTATAAAAGGTTTCTAATACTTAGCACCCATACGAACAATAAATTAAACAGAATTCTGTAGGGGTCAAGGCGAAATTACATGAAGCCTCTGTTTTCAAAACTTGTCCTAGCCATCTCTCTTTCAACACTTAAGAGAACCATTTGCCCTAAACTAATCAAGGCTGAATCACTAGAGTTTGTCTACACAAAGAAATTCCACCAGTTTAATTAAAGGTGTAATATTAAACTGGTTTAGTTAAACTGCTGCAACTTTGTACAAACTAATGATATAAGCCAGGTTTAAATTGGTATGAGTGTCCAGATTCAACATTGCACCAGCTAACTAAACCGGTTAACATCACAGTTAGTTAAACGGGTGCAACTGGTATGTTTAGACTAGATGTACCATATATACTCGTTCATTAGCCATTCGTTTATAAGCCGACCCTGCAAGATGGATAGGTAAAAACAGCAAAAACTGTACGATCCTTTCATAAGCCACTTCCTGCAGCTCCCATTGGCTGGGAACGGCAAACCACAGCCACTGGGAGCTGAAGGGCTCTGTGCCTGAGGAAGCTCCAAGTAAACAAAACATCCCGACCCACCAGCGGCTTACCCTGACAGGCTGGGAGCCAAAGTTTGCCAACCCCTGCTGTATTTTAAAAGCTGGCATCACAAGAAACACTCAAAAGTTTTGCTAGAATGATTTTAATGTAATCTAACGAAAAACCTGTTATAATAACTGAACAAATATGTATTCACCTTAAAAATTACAGTTAATATTTAAAATCAATAAATGGATATTTAAAACAAGTAACTTAGAACAACATGAGACTTTAAAAAGTCTTAAAATCCTTCAAAGCCTGAATCAGTCTCTGATTCACCAAACAGTTCATTAAACTCTGCTTCACTCACAGCTGCACCTGCATGATCATCGTAGATGTCGGCAGTGTCGTTTGACTGATCGAGTGCATTGCTGATACAGCATTTCCTAAATGATTTTTCTATCATTTCCGAGGGAATGGACACCCACGCGTCCTTGATCCACTGGGCGACCAGATTGATTGCGGGCTTCATAAGATTCCCGCCTTTTGCCAATTCGCCATGCCTGAGCACATCCATTCAGACCACATTTTGCATAGCCCGTCTTTAAAGGGTTTGTTCAGGCAGACATCAAGAGGTTGTAGAACTGAAGTTAAGCCTCCAGGTATTACAGCCAAATTAGTTTTCATATTTTTGGCCACATTTTTCACCTCATCCATCTTGCGTGCCCTGAACATGTCCCAAATGAGCACAGCAGGTTTCTTGAAAAGTGCGCCTGGTCTCTTATTCCACACTTTTTCCAGCCATTCAATAGTCCCACTTTCATCCATCCATCCCTTTTCGTGTGCACATATGATGACACCAGCAGGAAATTTCATGTCTGTAGGCAAGGTTTTTCTTTAAAAAAAAAAAAAAAAAAAAAACAACAACAGGAGGGAGCTTTGATCCATTTGCCAAACAAGATAAAACCACCGTAACATGGATTTTTTCATGGCTAGTGGTTTTAATTAAAACTGTTTTTTCACCAAAACTGGTTACCGTTCTGTTGCTCGGGAGATCGAATGTCATTAGCATTTCGTCCATATTTGCTATTTCTGACAGTTCAAATGCATATTCCTTTCGATATTTTATAGTAAGCCTTTGGAAAGATTCGATTTTTTTCTTCCAGATCTCTCGGCCGCTTTTGCGCTATCTTTGTTCGCTGACAAAAACAGAGACTATGACGGTTCATGAAGCGAGTACACCAACCGGCTGATGCGACAAATACTGATGGCTTTATTGACTTGTATTTGTCGTCTTTTGACATTTGCAGAGCACGCAGACAAATTCCAGTTCTAGTGACAATGTACCCATACAGTCAACATTCAACAACCCAATTACTGAGATCTCTCTCTCCAACTCAGGAAATGAAGTGCACCTCGTTGGACATTTTTTCTTGCTTCTTGGCATGTCTTTTAGTGTTTTATTTTTTCGCCATTCTCTTCCTTGCTTCTCATTGATACAGAATTCATGAGCAGCAGCGCAATTATTGTTTGCTTCTGCATATTCAACAACTTTAAGTTTGAACGCTGCGTGATAAGCAGACCTTTTTCTTTTGATTTCACCATTGTTCATTTTAAATACTAGTATGAAAATAGATTATTATTATTGTAGTTATAGATTCTGTAGGACTTTATATAGGAATGTCACCTGCTTTATTACTATCAAATTATTATTCTTTGTTTATTTCAAAGCAGCCCTGTAGATTGGCACGTCTGTGGGGATAACAGGCAATTTCAATTTTATTAGAGATTCCATTGATTCTGCACGTTATATTTTCATATTGGCTCGAGACTTATGAGGTCCATTGGTAGAAATGCATGAAGAAATCAAATTACACAGTAGCGGACTGACACAGTGCTATAGTACTATCGTTCATTGTATTTTTCTGATTGGCTTGTAAGGCATAGCATTTTGTGAAATGAATGAGTCAAATGTCATGCAGATTTGCAGCACTGCTCTTTTAGTATTCCTTTCAAGCCAATCTAGTCTACTAAAGAAAGCCTTTGCAACTTTAAAAGGCTGCAGTATTGACATCAATAAATGGGTCGGCAAACTTTGGCTCCTGGCCTGTCAGGATAAGCCGCTAGCGGGTCGGGATGTTTTGTTTACTTTGAGCGTCTGCAGGTATGGAGCCCCTCAGTTCCCTGTGGCCACGGTTTGCCGTTCTCAGCCAATGGGAGCTGCGAGACTTCCCAACCAATGGGAGCTGCGAGAACAGCGAACCACGGCCACAGGGAGCTGAGGGGCTCTGTGCCTGCAGATGCTCCATGTAAACAAAATGACAATGTATTAGATATTCAATTCAATTATTTCATAGAGTTTAAAATCATCAAATTTTGGCGTAGACCCGTTAATAAGCCAACCCCCGCTCTTTGATGCGTCACTTGTTTACCAAAAATATTTGGCTTATGAATGAGTATATACGGTAGTTATTTTACTAGTACCTAAAAATACCATATACATCACCTTGCACACTGTATCTGCTAACCGGGTGAAAAAAATTTTACAGTCATGTTGACAAAATAGAACAGTGGAGCTTCACTGCAAGCCTATCACTTTGGAATACAAGGCTGTTATTCTGCTTAGTGGTTCAGATTAACTTCTAGACACCTCAAAAAAAACTGCACTACTTAAATAACGAATTGTCACAATACATCATCTACCATCTTCACCTCGGAATATTAAAATTAGTCATTGGTGCGAGGAATGCCAAATCAATGCTGTCAATTTAGATTTATAAGCAAAAACCAATTATTCCTTCAAGTTGAAAAACAAAGCAATTACTTACTGTGCTGGTTAATAAGCATGCGGAAAGAGATGCGATTGGTGTAGAACCTATCTAGAAAATACTGGATGTTACTGCTAACAAACGGATCAAAGCCATACTTTTCCTTGTACTCAATCACCCCTTGCGCCATGGTAGGAACCACATCATTGTGTCTGTTCCTTACTTTGATTAAAACTTCTAAAAAGCTGAAACACAAAATTAGAAACAGAATGTTAGAGTAACAGGAATCTCTGCATCTCACACTGCAGTTTTCAAATATTCACTTGCATATAAGAGTCTTTTATTGTTTATCCCCCAGAGTCTCCAAAAGTTTATCAGAGAAACAAACTCCAACTACATTACTACCTACCACATGTCATGCTAAAGGGAAATATATTATGGTGCAACCGTATGTTTAAACTAGTGTAAACATTCAAGGCTTCTTGATAACTCTAGTTATGTCCCATAACAATTTATTTAAAATTGTGTTTTCTCCAGACCTTTCTTCTCTGTGAATCCAGCACAACATATGTCATTTATTCTGCTTGGTTTACAAATTCTGCAGGAGGCAGTGGATTGGTGGGGAGCTGTCTCAGAAGAGACCAGTTGGCCGTTTATCAGAATTACCAGAAAGGTGTCCCTACAGTTTGTTTTTAGAGTAGGTACCAGATGGAAGGAATTTATGAGGATGGTTATGTTTAAGTAATGAGCAGTATCAGCATGTGCACAGACACAATTCTATTCAGTTTCTTTTTATGCCTCTAGAGGGCAAAAAAAACACACAATGGCGCTTTCTCCTTTTTCCTGTAGTATCTTGCCCTTTGAGATCAAGAAGTTTTAGGAGTTTACTTTCATTTATTTTTTAATGGCAATGATGCAAGACAACAGTAGGCATATATTATAGAACAGATTAAAAATGTTACTTTCTTGTCAAAGCAGACCACAGCTTGTGATATTTAAAGAATTACCCCTTCCTTTTACATACAATTCTTTTGAGGTACAAAATACTGAAAAGAACCATTCATGTTTTAAAAAAGGATGACTTGAATATCTTATTAATCTCAAAACACTAAGAGTTAGCAACCTTCATCTCTGCCACTTTTCTCATTGACATTAATGACAATCATATACTACATTGACAATAATGCTTTATTCCTTCCTTCAGGATCAAATAGAAACAAATGCAATATACTTTTCAAAAGAAAGCAAAGATGGTGACTCTTTTATTAAGTTGTAACTGTGTCTGCAAAACTAAGGAGTCTTTTTATATGCTAACTCTGAAGCAAATTCTCAATGGGTTTATAATGAGCACAGAAGAACAGTATTTGACAAATTGAGTGAATAATTAATTAAATTAGAACCTAAGCACCACCTCTGGAAGGAAATAATAATACATTAGATTGTATGAAGTTATAGAGCACGGAAGACTGATTAGTCACTAGTATTTACTTCTCCTAAGGCCTCGTTTACACTACAGAGTTTTGTCAATGCAAGTTATGCTGATGATCAAAAAACACTATAATCACTTTGCTTGTGCACGTTCACATAACGCCCCTTCTGTTGGCAAAGCACATCCACGGTTGGCGCTCTAGCATCGACGGTGAGAGCAATGCACTGTGGGTAGCTATCCCACTGTGCTACTTCCCATCTAGGAATTGTGAGATGGCGGAGTGGATTGCAATGCATCATAGGTGCAATGTTCCATGATGCAGTTTTTTCCATCCCATCATTCCATAGGCTTCTGACTGTGTTCCGCGGCATTTTTCAATGGCCCCTGTTTACTGTGCACCTGCCATCTCAGTCTGAAAGGATGGAGCCTGCACTGCTGTCATCAATAGAAAGGGGTACTTCTCTATGGTACTGTAGGTGCTTGTGGATCACCATGGGCGCTTCACTGACATCAATGTGAGGTGCATACATCTTCAGGAACACTGGCCTGTACAGAAAGCGGCAAGCAGGAACTTTCTTTCCAGACCAGAAGATTCCAATGGGGGATGTTGAAATGCCCATAATGATGGACCCAGAGTGCCCATTACTCCCCTGGCTCATGAAGCCTAACAACAGAAACCTAGACAGCACCAAGGAATGCTTCAACAATAGGCTACGCAGGTGCAGAATGACAGCAGAAAGTGCGTCTGGCGAATTAAAAGCACGCTGGCACTGCTTTTATGGCAGGTTAGACCTAAATGAGGAAAATATTCCCATGGCCATAGCAGCCTGCTGTGCTCTCCGTAATATTTGTAAGGTTAAGGGTGAAAAGTTTCCCCTGGGGTGGTGTATGGAGGCAGATCACCTGGTAGCTGATTTTGAGCAGCCAGATACTAAGGCGACTAAGTACAAAATTGTAAATTCTGCCACCATTTTCCACAGCCAATATCTCATTCCCTAGGGTAAGCATGGATGCAAGAGTGCATCTCATGCATGCGTGGGGTTTCAGATCAGGTCCTTATGCTGTTCGCTTGTGTGGCACTTCAGTCCCTGCACAAGGGATTACAGGAAAGTTTCCTACAATGGGGGAAGAAACAAAGCAGCTCTGCCAAGGAACCTTCGGCAGAGGATTGGTGAGTACCTCAAGGAAAGTTTCCTAGAGATCTCTCTGGAGGATTCCCATGAAATCGCTGGTTTCAGAGTAACAGCCGTGTTAGTCTGTATTCGCAAAAAGAAAAGGAGTACTTGTGGCACCTTAGAGACTAACCAATTTGTTTGAGCATAAGCTTTCGTGAGCTACAGCTCACTTCATTGGATGCATACTGTGGAAAATACAGAAGATGTCAAAATACAGAAATCTCTGTGCACATTAACACTGTTCCATTGCTCCAAAGGGGAACGTGAAGCACACGCAAACACAGCTAGTCTCATACATATCTATCCCTTCACCCACTTCTAGAATATAACAAAGAAAAGGACAACTCCACGTCATATGCAGCATCAACTCAAGAAGATCACTTATCAGAGCTCCCCATGTGTGCATCATGCACACCAGAGACAGAGTGCTGGGATTGGCTCAAACTCTCATGGGTCGAGAAGAGGTCCTGGCTTGCCATGTTACCGGATGACCCTATCGCCTGTCCCATCGCGTCCTCCAACTCAACCTCTTCGCCCACAACTTCATCCTCAGGGTCGAGCCTGCTGTCTCCAACCCTGCCGAAGTATCCATGGGGCTCTTGGTCGTGGAGGTGGGGTCACTGCCGAGGATGGCATCCAGCTCCTTATAGAAGCAGCAAGTCTTCAGCGCAGCACTGGAGTGACCACATGACTCTCTTGCCTCCTGGTACACCTGCCTCAGATCTTTTATCTTTGCACAGCGCTGATGTGTCCTGTTCATAGCTCTTCTCCAACATGCCACGAGAAATCTGACTTTAAGTATCGAAGCTCCTACAGCTGGAGTGAAGCTAGGACTGCACCTCCTCCTCTCCCCACAGTGCCAGCATATTCAACAACTCAGATGCGCTCCAAGCAGGAAAGCATTTGCTGTGTGGAGCCACCACGGTTAGCTGGGAAGATGCAATATGAACTGTCCACCCCAAGCAAGCAGGAAGTGGAATTTCAAAAATTCCTGGGCCTTTAAAGGGGGAACAGTGTACCTGGGTGCAGGGTAGTAGAGGTCTAACTGCTGACCAGAGTGTTCAGAATGGACATTGTGGGGCACCTCCTGGAAGCCATATACAGCGACATAACCAAGCGCAGTGTCTACACTGACACTTTGTCGACGTAACATAGCCACAAAAAGCTCTACACCTCTTGTCAAGGTAGTTTTATTTTGTCAGCAAAGCAGGAGAGTTTTGTCGGCAGAAGGAATATTGTAGTGTGTACATCTCCACTGTTTTGTCGACAAAAATGGACTTTTGGAGACAAAACTCTGTAGTGTAGATAAGCCCTAAAAGTCAATATATAACCTCTCAGATTAAAGTTGCAAGTACTCAAAAAGGGCTTTAATTGCTTATTTGTAAACAAAGGAATTGTCACCACATACCTGGATTTTTTTATAGGGTATTCAGAAGTTTTAAACAGTCCTGTGATAAACCCAATTACTCAATTAGAGTGGAGAGTGATGCCTCTAGTCTGTCCCTCTTTACTTTATCTCACACCACTCCTCAAAGTTAAAAAAGAGAAAAAAAACCATTTTATCAGTTTCTTAAAACTGGTATCTATTTCCCACTTTCATATGTTCTTCAGGCCTATAGCACTGTTGGGAAGTAAAATGTACTGTGACAGTTTGTATTCCTATGTTCACCCCTTTTACAAGACTCTGGTACATTTTGTACGAAGTATGCCTTGCGTATATTTTCCCAAAAGATGCCATTTGAAAACTCAATTTGCCAATTACTGTCCTAGTCCAATGCGTGTGGGCAACGTTGTATGTAAAGGTATACGATTCTACTATATGATACTACTGAGACATATTCCAAGTCTGCAAAAACAGCCACAAACCAGTTCCTCAGAAACAAAAGGCAAACCAACACCTCAGCCAGGTGTCAACAAGATCAAATGGACTATCACCTGGTGACTATTCTTTGGCAGAAAAAAGAGAGTTAGCAAGAAATTTACATCTTGACAAAGAAACTGTTGGAGGTTCCCATCACTGCAGACTTTTTGTCTTCTGAACCTCAGTTGGAGATAATTTTCAAAGAAAAAGAGAACTATAAGAAAGGAGAACAGAAGCCTCAAAATATTCCTCCCTTTCTCTTTGCCCACAGCACCAACACGCCCCGAACAACAAGGAAATTAACACTGAACTGGGGGAGGGGTTGTGGCTGAAAGGAATCCAGCCAGTAAGACTGCTGAAGCATGCGGTGAGAGAAATCTTTGCTTGGAATTCATTTAGCTTGTTAAATTAGATATTAATTGCATTTTACCCTTTTTTTTTTATAACCAATTCTGACTTGTATGCCTCATTACTTGTAATCACTTAAAATCTTTCTTTCTGTAGTTGATAAACTTGCTTTATCTAAACCAGTGTGTTTGCTTTGAAGTGTTTGGGAAACTCCATTCCACATAACAGGATTTGTGAATATAATTTTTTATTAATGAAATGATGGACTTTATATGAGCTTGTACTGTCCAGAAGGAGAGAGCTTGGCACTACAAGATGCATATGTTCGGGGAAAGTCTGGGACTGGGAGTTTGCTGGTGTTGCCCTGCAGTGTAATTCATTGGTGGCTCGCTAATACTCATACAGTAATATCTGGGAGTAATTCACATGCTGAAGGCTGCGTGTGAGCTGAGCAAGAGTGGTTGTTCTCACAGTGAACAGTGTAAAAGGCACCCCAGGCTGGAGAATTGAGTGGACACAGCTGTTCTACAGTCCAGATTGTACCCTGGGTAATGTCACATGTACCTCTCCTAATGAGTAATAATGTATCTATTTTCCCTAAAGATGCTTTCCCCTTCACCCTACATGGCTGATTGTGAAGGAACGCTCCTCTTGTAAAATAACTTATTCACCATCTCCTATCTAATCAGCAATTCTTAAGTGCCTCCACAAATGGCTCATCTAGTCTTTCAAAGTGACATCTTACTTTGCAAAATAAGCAGTAATGTGGAAGTCTTAATAGATACTACCTAATCCCAAATCTAAAGACTTTTAAAATAAAGAAGGGCTGTTCTTACATACTCACCTACCTTGCTGATTGAACAAGCATCCCCTCTTCAAAACTACTTTAATGCTTAAGGCTTCAGAGATTCTTTTAAATAGATTAGGCCTTTCTGATTATGTGTGATCTGTAACTACTGAAATCTCAGAGTTAAATGCCAAGAAAAGAGAGGTTTCAGTCCTCTTCTTCCTAGCTGTGAATACCAAAATCATTTTTTTGGTTGCAAAGAAGTACAGGAACAAACTCCTATTTTCTCTTCTGCAAATAGAGAGATAGTGCCACAAGGAAACAAACTTGAATTTCTTTATGTTTCATATCAGAAAGCATGCCTGCCTAGAAACCAGAATCCTTCAGTGCTACAGAGGACAACATATATTATAAAGGAATCCTTAGTTATTTCTAAGGCCTGGGCTACACTGCGTGGGGAGGTCGAACTCAGATATGCAACTTCAGCTACACTATTCGCGTAGCTGAAATCAAAGTATCTTAGTTCGACTTACCTTGCCGTCCTCACAGCGGCGAGTCGACCATGGCAGCTCCCCATCGACTTCGCTTACTCCTCCTGCCAAAGTGGAGTACAGGCATCGATTCAGGGATCGATTTATCACGTCTAGACGAGACAAGATAAATCGATCCCTGACAGATCGATCACTACCCACCAATCTGGCGGGTAGTGAAGATGTACCCTAACATGCAACTGCTCCTCCTCCTATCTTCAAAGATGCTTTACTTCGCTCTTGAAGATATTCCTTTCTATGAATTAAGATAGACCTAAACATTTTTTTAAAAGGCTAACAACCTGAATATATTTATGTGTATTTATGAGTTTACCACTTTTCCTTAATCTTGCTATGCTCCATGTCTGTCAAGTTGGCCCCTGATCTTTTCACTTTAGGCTGTAGACAAGCACCATTTCAAACAAAGCTCACATGACACCAGAATGAAGAAATTTATTAATATTCTGACTTAGTCACTTGTAACCAAGTTTCAAAATACTGCGTACTACTTCTCCAAAACCACAGTGAGTAACACCGAGTTCCACAGAGCAGGAATTCTTAGAAAGCTGGTTGAACCTAGTCAACTTCATGTGCGTTGGCAGATGCGCACAAAGGCAGCATCAGTGAGAAGACGACGAGTTCTTTACCCCTTCATTTGGTAACTGCCTATCCAGAAACAGTAGCTACATGAAGACAAGCTGAGATGATGTAACAAGATGCGTAGTAGGTCTTAGTAGTAAATACATTTGGAGAACTCTATTGGCAAATAACCTTGTATTTTTCATGAAAAAAAATCTTTCACTGATTCTTCCCCCCCCCCCCCGAGATTACTTAGCATTAACCCCTTTGGAGCAAGGCTGAAGAGCTCCATAATTTGTAAACAGACTGAAGGAGCAGTTTTACCAAAATATGTATCAGATCTAACTTCTGATCTGGCTTTTGTATCAACACAAGAGTGTCACCACAGCTTTAGCAGAGTAAGCGTAGCAACCTTCTGTAACGGCAATTTCTGAATAAGACTCAATTCAAGTGACTATCCATTTAGATTACTACTGATTGGATATGTTAACCCTTTTTGGCCTACCCTCATAAACAGCAGAAAAGAGTTAAGCAAAAACTTTCATCTTGCCACATAAAAGTGGATGGCATTTTTGATATCCAGCTTATGGAGAAAGTCTTCCACTTGAAGGATTTAGAATGAGAGACAGGCAGAGGGACTTACTTTAAATGGAATTAGTATACAAGTTGAATGAGAAATTTGTGATGAAGTTTGAGAATCACTTAAAAACCAAGAATGAAACATGAGGACATATCTTATTTACCTTTCTGGAAGAGAATATAGCTATTAAAAATGTCAGTTTAAAGTGCAGTTCTGGTCTGCACAGGAAAAAAATAAACATGACATATTTCTCAACAGATCAGCCCCAAGTCTAATCCGTTTACTTTAATGACTAAAAGAATTTATTACTTCAATACGGTTAGCACTGCAGAACCAATACAACTGATGGAACATCAGCAGAGTTTTATTCTCTCTCATGCATCATCAACAAAATTGTCTACCACGTTTCAAATGAAGGGCCAAATTCTGTGTTCAGTCATACCTGTGTAAACGCAAAAGAATCATATGGTTATGCAGATGTAATGGAGAACTTTTGGAACTTGTTTCCTCCTCAGCTCTGTAATAGTCCAAATCCATTAGCCTTCAGAGTCCTCACCTTTTCTCCCTTGACTATGAAGATATGAATGTAGGACAGGACTGAATAGCAGTGGTGTTGGATTCTGTTAATTATTTCTTGTTATGCTGTTGGTGGGTTATTTGATACGATTTGGGGTAACTGATGGGTCTGCCTGTTTATTAGTATATTTTTAAGAGTGTCAGGGGTGCCTACAGTATTGGATGGACTCTCTAAATTGCAGTTTAATAAACATCTAAAGTAAATAAAAACACAGAATCTACAGAACCTTTACTTTAATGGTAATGATATATAAGCAAGAAAGAACTTTCCATGCTGAGGTAGAGTGTTTGTTACTGTAAGAAAATCAGAATAAGACTAATCTTCAGTGGAAGTTGTGGCTTGCTTTCCTCTGATATGAATTTGGCCCATGAAACTTTTCACCTTAAAGTCATTAGTCTGAATTCAGCTCTGATAGATAGCAATGAAGGGTTAAATCCTGTACCTACTGTAATCAATGGCAAAACTCCCATTGATTCCAATAGTGACAGGATTTCACCCAAAGTAATTTTTATTGTATGGTAAATGTTCTGTTCCAAGTTATAGACCTGTTTGAAATATTAATACATTAACATAATACATTAAAATACTATAATAGACTACCTGAGCTCAAGGAAAACAGAGTACCTAAGTAGGGTTTTTTTTTGTATTAAAAGTGTTTGGTACCTTTAGTATACCTTTATTTATATATACTTTTTTATTTTACATACCTTGAATTTAACACATTATACAGTATTGCAAGTTAGGAACTAGCAGGATACAGCGTAGGCTGTTCAAACAAACTTAGATTTTATGTTTTAGTTATTACAAACACAGTCTTAACTACCTGAATTCTACATTACAAATTTGATTATTTCTATGCTGTTACAATAAACAGAAATCCTGGCTTTTAACAGATCTTTTTCCTGGTGGTTTTACTTCTAAAATAAATCATTACTTACTTATCCAGAATATGAGGATCCTCAGGGCTTTTATTTTCATATTCTAAAAGCTCAAGGAAACTTTGCATGTACCTGAAATATAAAGAGATGTGACATTAAGAACTAGGGATAAAACGTTCAAAGACACCGAAGTGACATAGAATCCCACTTCAATGATCACCACGCATCCATTAAACTCTCTCTAGAACTCTTCTGCACCAATATCAACTTCCTGGACACCATGATCAGCTTCAGCAATGGATCCCTACTGACCACTGTATACAAGAAAGCCATGGCTCATCACATTTACCTACACAGATCAAGTAACCAGCCAAAATACATCAAGAAACCTGTTACCTGCAGCCAGGCACTCAGAAACCACAGAATATACTCAATGGAGAAAGTCCAGGATACACACCTTAACACACTTAAAACTGCCTTTCACCAAACAAGAACTCTCCCCCAGAGAAGCAGATGATGTCATGGAACAGGCCACTCAAATACTCCAAGAGAAACTCCTTCAAAACAGGAAAAAACCCTCTGACCGCATACACCTGGCTGTTATCTACCACTCCACACTGGAAACCATACACAGTATCATTTAACATTTACAACCCATACCTGTTGGGGAACACATCATGAAAGAAATCTTTCCCAAACCCCCTCTTCTGGTCTTCAAACAGACACCCCGCCCTGCAATCTCACCAACCTCATTATCAGAAGCAAGTTCCCCACAGACTAGGACCCACCAACTCAACGCAGCACCAGACCCTGCCATAACTGATGAAAAACTTGCAGACATATACAATGGTCAATACCCTCCAACACACTTTTCAAGATCCATGGGTCATACACATGCCTATCACAATAAGTTATGTACCTCATCCAGTGCACTACACACCCCAATAATTGTGTGGGTGAAACCAAACACTACACTTTTGAATGAATTCACAGAGTAAAATAATAAAAGACACCATATCACCTGTGGGCAAACACTTTTCACAAAATGACAACTCCATATCTGACCTCTCAGTCCTCGTCCTCAAAGGAAACCTACACAACACCTTCAACAGACAAGCTCAAAAGCTTAAATTCGTAATTTTGCTAGACACTAAAAATCAGGGTTTTAATAAAGACACTGGATTTATGGCTTGTTACAACAATTTGTAACCCACTAACATCCATTTTTTCTCCTATGACTGCAGCCATCTTAACGGGTTACTTCAAACTGAATAGTATCCTACAGAGTGTTAACTACTTATGTTAAACTATCTGTTACAACTTGTATTTAGCTGTGACACCCTGAGTAGGTTTATCAGACCTGAAGAAGAGCTCTGCGTAACTCAAAAGCTTGTCTCTCTCATCAACAGAAGTTGGTCCAATAAAAGGTATTGCCCCGCCCATCTTGTCTCTCTAATAGGAACCTAAATCACTTTTGAAACTTTTACCTTAGGACTATAATTTTGTCTGAAACAAAAACATATGCAGTACACAAAAAGAATTCCCTGCAAAGACTGCTACAAAGTGGGACATTTCCAAGAAGAGCAAAAAAAGGACAGTCAGAATCAGCATGCATGAAAAAAAAATCGTTTAAAAAACCAAAAAACAAAAATCCACACTTTTAAGTTAAAAAAAAATCTTATTTAAATAACCAATTTAAATTAAATACAGGTTCATTTTTAAAAAATAAACCTATTCAAAATTCAATTTGAAATTGACAACCTATGTTAAGGCAAATTTATAATAATCCCTAAAAATAATATAATTAAATACAAAATAATAATATTAAGCAGTACATGTTGGCTGCCAAGTTTTAAAGAAAGTCAAACCATTAAAATGGTTCAAGTCACTGGCTAAAGCACCTGAAACAGGAGGTCTTGGGAATATGCATCAGAGTCCAGATTGCAGGTATCAGTGGCAACTGTGATGGTAAAAAGAAAAAGGAGTACTTGTGGCACCTTAGAGACTAACCAATTTATTTGAGCATAAGCTTTCGTGAGCTACAGCTCACTTCATCGGATGCATACTGTGGAAAGTACAGAAGACGTTTTTATACACACAAACCATGAAAAAATGGGTGTCTATCACTACAAAAAGTTTTCTCTCCCCCCACCCCACTCTCCTGCTGGTAATAGCTTATGTAAAGTGATCACTCTCCTTACAATGTGTATTACCAGCAGGAGAGTGGGGTGGGGGGAGAGAAAACCTTTTGTAGTGATAATCACCCATTTTTTCATGGTTTGTGTGTATAAAAAGGTCTTCTGTACTTTCCACAGTATGCATCCGATGAAGTGAGCTGTAGCTCACAAAAGCTTATGCTCAAATAAATTGGTTAGTCTCTAAGGTGCCACAAGTACTCCTTTTCTTTTTGCAAATACAGACTAACACGGCTGTTACTCTGAAACCTATGATGGTAAGGAATAGAAGAGCTCTCCTACCAATGAAGCTGTTGGAGCACTCAAGTCTCCTTTGAAGACTGTTTCCGCTGGTGTGCATTAATGCACCACAGAGTGATGCAAAGATCTTATATTCGGATGAGCAAAGGGTGTGATGCAGGTCATGAGGAGACTATCAGGCCCAGCAGTCTTAGGAAATATTGTACAGTTGTTCCAAGATTTGCCAAGGAGTCTTGAATTTTCAAAAAAAAACTCTCTCTTCTGGAAGAAAGTCTCTGGCCCAAGTGGAGTCCAGGACAGCTCTGATGAAGGTGATCCTTTGCACAGGTTGAAGCGAGGACTTTCTCCCACTTGACTTATAGTCTCCAAGACTGGAAGAATATGCAAATGTATAGGATCTGAGGAGAATCCTGTTAAGAGTTGACCCTTCGGAGTCAGTCGTCCTGATATTTAGGCAAATATTCCTGGGTGTATGAAGTGAGCAGCAACCACCACAAAGCACTTGAAGACTCATGTGCTGTGGACCAGCTGAAAGGAAAGACTCACCTGGTAGCATCTCATCCTCACACGAAGAATCTCAGGTATTTGATGTGTGAGTGATTTCCAAACCATAGTGGTATCTTTTAAACCGAGAGATGCATAAGGTCACGTGCCCTCCGAGAGTTTTGCCAGGGTTTGATGGGCCCCCTCCTCCCTGCATGGCAGCTGCTGGGGCTGGCAAGCTGGGAGCTCCGGCCAAGGGGAGAGGCAGCGGCAAACAACTGGGAGCTGCAGGGAAAGCTGCAGCTTTTGTTGCTACCTCTCCCTATGGAGCTAAAGCAGTGGCTCCTCCCTGCAGCTCCCAGCTGTTTGCCACTGGCTCTCCACATGGAGTTAACATCTGGAAGCTGCAGGGAGGGGTCACTGACGGTAAGACTGGGGGTGTACCTGAGGGGCATAACTCAAGCTGTTAGGGGAGGGTGAACCTTTAAATTGTGTCCTCCCCAGCAGGCACCAGTTGTCTCTAGCAGAAGCCCCTAGCTCCACCACAGGGCAGAAACCCTGAGCTCTCCACACCCCCAGTCTAGTAGGCGGAGACTAGAGGCAGTGGGTTTGAGGGGGGCTCCATGAGCTACACTTTAACAGTAAAAAAGCTGCAGTTTGGCCACCCCTGCTTTATACCCTTAGCTTAAAGCATGAGGGAAGCCAGGACGCAGGCGTGGCTGCCCCATGGGTACCACTAGGGAAAACTTTCCAGCACTGATGCATGACACACACACACACACACCTATGGTGGAACAGACACATGCATTCACTTGAAGAAACAATGTTGCTTAAAAATACCAAATCGTTAAAGACGTTGACAAGCATGCTTGAAGCTGCAACCGCCACCGCTGTAATTTTAGATGCAATTCTCCTATCGGCAGCCAGCAAAATCCATGCATTCTTGCCCTTTGGGAATGCCTTACTTTTAAAAGCAAATGAAATGTGATATTTCCCATTTATATTAATTCAGTATACACAAAAGTCTCGTACTTCTTGTGAAATTATCTGATTAAAACATGACCATACAGATCATTATTGCAACCACTGTTATACATATGCAACAAATCTTGTACGAAATGTGGTATGTAAGATGTCTATGGAAAGGTTAAGATTTGCTGAGTATGATTATGCTATTTGTATGCATCATTTTTGTATTTAATGTTATGAGTATTGGCTCTATACCTGTATTTCTAATATGTTTGCTTCTGGGAAACACCAAGAAGATGTTTAGCCAGCACATTATGAACGATTCAAATTAAGTGGCTCATTAAGAAACACTTAACCGACATTGGACCATGGACCATGCCCATCTACACTGAATGGACTGTCCTGCAAACGTACTGTCTGGAGTATAGGTAATCAGCTCAGTGGTAGCAGATGACAGAACGAGGAGTAATGGTCTCAAGTTGCAGTGGGGGAGGTTTAGGTTGGATATTAGGAAAAACTTTTTCACTAGGAGGGTGGTGAAACACTGGAATGCGTTACCTAGGGAGGTGGTGGAATCTCCTTCCTTGGAAGTTTTTAAGGTCAGGCTTGACAAAGCCCTGGGTGGGATAATTTAGTTGGGGATTGGTCCTGCTTTGAGCAGGGGGTTGGACTAGATGACCTCCTGAGGTCCCTTCCAACCCTGATATTCTATGATAATGGCTTCCTGCAATGACTAGGGTATGCCTTCACTAGCAATGTAAAAGCAGCTGTTTAGTCACTACACCAGCACTGGGAGAGAGCTCTCCTAACACTGTAAAAAAAAAAAAAAAAAAAACACACCACCACCACAAGGGGAGTAGCTCCCAGCACTGGTTGCACTGTCTACACTGCCACTTTACAGTGCTGAAACTTGCAGTGCTCGGGCGGGGGGGGGGGGGGAGGTGTTCCCACACCCCTGAGCGAGAAAGTTGCAGCGCTGTAAAGTGGCAGTGTAGACAAGTCCTACATGAAATCACGCATCCACAGGTGACTTGTCCACCTGACTCCAAACTCCCATTTTGTCATCTGTAAACTTTCCACTAGCTGTGCTGAGGGCTTTGTTTGAAACAATGGGTTTCCCTCCACATGGCAGAAGATATAAAAGGCCCTGGAAATCGCTCCATTTTACCTCTTTCCTGCTCAAATCTCTGGACAATGGACTAATGGGAGCATTCTAACCAATGGACTGAGGACCTTCCAATGATT